GCTTGGCTTTTCTAATCCAAGGAATGTATTGACGTAAGTATATGTATTTTTTTTTCGGTTTACTTGTTCGTATGTACTGCCCAGCACTTTAAACAATGCTTTCCTCAGCTAACGATGACACATGCAGTTAACAAGAACGGGATAATATATCACAAAAGCAGTATTTTTTTTGTTTGTTTAAATCATAAAGTGAAATGAGCGAGCGCTGATGGAGTGACCGCAGCCCCTGCATGCCCCAGCCTCCTGGTATCGTCCCTACGAGAAGCACAAAGGTGCTGGAGGAGGCACGCAGAGCCCTGACGGAGCGTTTGTTGGGGTCCCTCCAGCCTGGGGGTGCTGAGCAGCGGCTGAAGCCTCCCCAGGGCTGCGTTCACTCTGTCGTCGCCATTTCACGTTATGTATATTGTAAGTAATTTATATGGTGGGTTTGGTTTTGTTTTTTTCCCTAAATGTATATATTTTTGTATGTTTGCTATATTTTCATAGCATCGGTAACGTGTTTGAAACATGTAGATAGGAGACAGAATACTATTGTCAGAGTTATTTAAAGGATGTATTAAGTGCTTCTTCCCCGGACTGTTCCGTGTATATAAGGTGCGAGGTGTCGGTGTGCGTGTGGTGCGTGTGCTCTCCTCCCAGCCCAGGTTCGGCCGAGCTGGCTTGGGGCTGGCGCTGCCGGGGGAGCGGAGCGTGGCGGGGAGGGGACACCCGGCACCCGCTCCCCGCTTTGGGAACGGCCAAGGCTCGGAGGGAAGCCTCAGGCTCAGCGCCGCGGGGGAGGCTGCATCGTGCCTCTGCTGCTGGGGGTCCTGGCAGCGTCCTTCTCGAGACCTTTCCAGGCTGGGACGGGTCTTCTCCTCCCCTTCCATTGCTCAGCATCTCTCCCCCAGCTCCCAGCACTCCTGCCACGCTGTGTTCTCATTTTTAAGGGTTTCATTCCAGCTGTCCCTGTGCTTCCTTGGCTCCAGGCGCCTGCCCCCGTCCCGTGCGGGTGACAGGAGGACACAGGGGTGCTTCTGGTGATGGCTTCGGGACGGGTGTAGGTCACCTTGGAAGAACGCGGTTGTTAGGAAGGAGAGGTTGCAGAAGGATGTGGGCAGGAGAAAACAAGTGTTGACATGAGACGGGGGCTGGTCACCATGGAGGCTGTTGAATGAGCAGAGGGGACAGAGGGAAGTAGAGGGGAGAAAACTGGGACTAGTAACCACGGAGCTTTTGGAAGGGAAAGGAAGAGGAGCCGACAGGGACGTGCCCAGAGCGCAGCAGCAGGAGTGGGAGACCCCAGCGGGTGCCTGGAGCCAGCGGGACCAGCAGCGGGGGCCCCAGAGCCCAGGGCTGGTGTTGGTAAGCCTTGTGTACAGCACAGAACGGAGCTGTTACTCCTTTTACTCTGCCCCAGGACTCTTCTGCCATATAAAACTTCAAGACAGATTTAGAACTGTTGGCCTTGTATTTTCTGGTTCCTTTTACTTATCCAAGCAGCTCCCAGGGCTGGTGCAAGCGCCTGTCCCAAGGGCAGTGAAAGGAGCAGCTGTGAGCTGTTCCCTGGATACGTGGCAGGGCGAGGAAGGACACAGTTCTAAAGCAAAATCCTCTTTGGTGAGATAAGCACTGCCCCAGGTGAAATGCCAGGGCCTGTCCTCTGCTTCTGTCCTTAAAGCCGAAGGTTCTGACTCTGTGGCTCTGCCTCAAAGGGAAAGGCACGGGAGGAGCACAGAATTGCATCAACAGCGACTGCAAGTCGCTCATCTTCTAACACGGCGGCGTAAGCACGCAGGAAGGCTGGGGGCCAGCAGCCAGCTGGGGAAATGAGGGGGAGGGGAGGAGAGCACTTGCTGGCATGTGCTGCGGCATGGGCCACCGGCTCTTACCCTCTTCTGGGTTCTTTCCTGGGAGATCTCCCAGCCCCAGCACCACTTGTCCCCTCCCGCTCCGCGCCTGGCTGCACCCGCGCATCCCTTTCCCGCTGCAGGGGAGCAACGGGCGCAGATCCAGCCCCAGCCGAGGGCAAAATAAACCAAGCAAAGCTGGGAAAGCTCTCTGCAGGAACCAAACAGTCCAGTTCAAGATCCCCAGTTGAGTTCTCAGCCCCTCCCCACCCCCCAGCTGGGGTCTCCTCGTTTAAAGAAGGTCGTTAGTGGGAGTTAAGCGCAGGAGGGCAAGACAGAGGCAAGAGGCAGGGTGCAGCCGCGCCCACCAGCCTTTGATGAGCTAACCGCGAGGGAGCAGGCAGGTGCAGGATGCTCCCCTCACTGAAGCGTCAGGATTCTTGTTCCCAAGCGCCTGTTTGTTCCCCAGCTTGCTCTGCGCGTGTGTGTGTGTGACGGGATGCGTGTGAGTTACCAAGTGCTTCTTCTAATCCAAGAGGAGCAGACATAGGCTAAGACAACTGCCCTCCTTTCCTTCTTTGCTTGAAGTAGGGAGAGCAGCTCTGGAACCCCCAGTTGTTTCTTGAAACCTCCCCAAGGGCCCACATGTGCGGGGGGCAGCGCTGGCAGCTTCCCAGCACGCGTAGTTCTCATCGCAGCGATTGTACAAACTCGAGCAACACTCCCACCTTCCTTCCCTGTCCCACTAAGGTACCAGGTGCCGCCACCAGTTACTAGTCACCAGTTATACCCTAAACAGCAATAAGCTTGACCTGCAGCCCTATCCCATAATACTCCTGAATGTATATTTCTGTGTTTGTAGTCACCCAGCGATGGTTTCTTATTTATTGTCTGAAGTCTCACAAAGATGCAACAGTATCGAGCTGCTTAAATAAAACCTCCTATGTGTGAGTTGAAAGAGAGAGGGAGGGACATCTGTAAGTGCTTTTTAACAAAAGAACAGATGATTGTGACCAATATGCCAACTGTTCTGTCTGGTCAGCATTTCACTGCAAAAAATATTGTATTTTGTAACTGTGGGGATGTTTCTTAAAAAAATGACAAGGTCAAATAAAAGATGACTGCTACACCCCGGCTCTGGTGCTTCTGTGACGCTGGCTCCAGCCCGCTCCCCGCTACCCGCGAGAGCTCGGCCGAGGCACCGGGGCCAAGCCCTGCCAGCCTGGAGACATCCCTCCCACCCCACTGTCACTGTCTGCCACTGGAATTTTAGTCAAGGTTTCCTGCACAGTACAAGGCTCTTTTGTAAATCAGCCAGCCTCTTAGGTCAGCTTGGGGCTGTAATTAACGCCATCGGGCTGCAATTAATGACAGTGAGGGGTCTGCTCCATCCAGGAGGCAGGAGCACTGGGCTCGCTCAGCCCCGGGCTGCCGGGGTGGGATGCCAAGGGAAAAGACCCCCTCGTGCAGAGGTTACCTGGAGCCGAACCCGCGGGAATATCCCCCATCCAGGGACGGGAACACAGCCAGGTCCCGTGGCACGGCCAGTGCTCGGAGCTGTGGTCACTGAAATATTAGCGATAGGATTGGAAAGCTGGAAGGGGAGAGGAGGAAGGGATTTCCGTTATGAAGAAACACAGTTTGAATCTTCCCAGGCCAGCACGAACCCACTGACCCTACAAATATTTTATTTCCTTTATGACTTATAAACACTCAAAACACAACATACACTTAGAGTTCCCAACCAGCCCTGCACAAGGCAGTAGCGTCACTGCTGTCCCCTTGCCTGTCACTTCACAGTTCCGCGTGCAGATTGCACTTGTCTTCATCTCCCCTGCCAGGGCGCTGCTGGTGCCCGACCCCAAAAGCCACGCTCCCGTTCACTGACAGAGGGGGTGAAGTACTCACAGTATCGTCCAGCTGACACGGTTTCTCCCAGGGTGGTAGTGTAGTGTCTGGAGACCATCTTACCTCGAGATGGGCGACATCATCCCGTTCCCCCTGCACACGCGGGCGCTGGAGGGACCCCCTTCCGCAGCCCAGCTCCCAGGAGGAGACGGTCACTCTGCGTTAGTGCAACAGGCAAAACTCCCTCAAGAGAGGATGCCCCAGGACATGGCAACAGTCTTTCAAAAACGATTTACCAGGTACACAGAGAAGGCCAAGAGTTACCGCCAGCATTGCTGCAGCCAGCGGAAATGCTGCAGCTGAACCCAGAAGCCAGCTCTGGCCTCTGAGCTTGAGCCCGCCGGTGGGTCAGGCTCTTCGACACAAAAGGTTCACGGCCCAGCTCTCGGCCAGTCTGCGGCTCCGGCCAGGGGCACCCAGCTCCCTGGTTTGTGTTAACTTCTGCTGAATGAGGGAGGGGCTGCTGTGAATCTCTCAAAATGGAGACAAATGCTTGGGAATTTCAGCAGCGTGTTTGGCAGGAGAACCCAAATTAACTCTTACCCAGTGCCAGCAGCAGAGCAAGTCCAAGAGTCTGAAGAGTTCAAGTGCCGAGAGGCACCAAGGCCTGGAGGAGCTGGGATTTCAGGGTGCTTAGAAATAGTGACTGGACTTTCCATACCTTGTATTTCATTCCCAATAAAGTCCTCAGAATTCCCACAATTCCTGCACCTTCCAGCTACATGAGGAAGTGCAGAGTATCATATCTCGTCAGCTCCCACCAGCCACTGGTGTGGAAGGAGTCTAGAGAAAGGTTCTGCAAGAATGTTCCCATGAGAGATGGAAGCCTCAAAAGAGCGCAAACCAAATAAAAACAAAGCGCGTAGAGCTGGTCCTCTCCTGGAGCATCTGCTGGGGATAGTGTCCTCCTCAGACAACGGCAGGCTGAGACAGTGAAAACGCTCGAGCCTCGCGGTATGGGGCAATGCCGAGTCCACATGCAAGCGGCACAGCCCCACCGCGCTGCCAAACCCCCTCCTCCGTGTCCACGCATCCGCACGGAGCCAGCACGCAGGTAAAACACTTTCGCTGCCTCGTCTGTCCCAGAACAGACACGCCGACCCGCTGGGATCTACACGAACTCGGTGAAGTCGTCCACCGAGGAGACGAGCCGCTTCCTCTGTCCGGTCTCGTAGGTGGGTGGAGGGTCCTGCGGGATCTGGGGAGGGGGCTTCGTCGGAGCAGACGGATGCATCTGCAGCGGAAGGCCGGGAGTCTGGTACTGGGTTTCTTCACGTAGCTGAAAGTCAAATGAGAACACATGAGCTCCATTCTCTCTGAACCTCTTCTCACTCTCTGTTTGGGCAGGGCAGGGCAGGTTCTTCAGGCCAGCTCGTCCCACCATCCCCAGCACGGTGCCGAGCGGGCACAGCTCTGTGTCCAGGTATTAGGGCTCCCAAACCCCTTGCCACCAGGGAAGCTGAAAGCTCCTCAGTCCAGACCTACGTTTGTCATTCCCACAAGAGCTGGATTCTGACCTTTGTACACAAATTTCTCCTCTTACTGAGCAAGTTTTGATAGCTGATTTTGTGCCTTATTTGTAATGGGACTCTAAGGGAGAGCCCAGTTCTAAACACTTCGACCAGAGAGCTTTACTCACCCGGTGCCTGAGCCTCTTGATATGACGCAGCCTCGCAATCCACTTGGATGGGTAGGTGTCAGTAGGGTTTGATCGGCTGTGATGAACCTGGGAAGCCATCTAATTCGGGAAGGGTGGGGAGACGCAGGGAGAGAAGAATCACATGAACATAACATGCCAATAAAAGGAACAGGACGTTTCAGTGCAGTTTGACAGTGACTGAATACAGCTCTAAGTTACAACCGTTCACGTGCTAACTGACTCAAAGGTTCAGAGAAATAACTGAAGCAGAAAGCTGATTTGCTTTAGCAAGCCCTGCTCATTTCCTTGGAAGCCGGTGATGGACCAAGACACCAGCCAAAAGGTGGGTCTCAGGGAGCTCGAGGGTACTCACATTAGCATGCAAGGCCATCTGACGGGCTACAAACGGCAGGTTCTTATCCGAGATGATCTTAGCGACACTCGTGTCTACGAGACCCTCCATGTCTTCGTTTGAAAGGAAGAAGAAAAGTTCTTGTAACATGGTGAAGGACAAGCGAAAGGTTGCCAGTAACTAAATAGACAAGTGATATCAACCTGGGGAATTGCATCCCACAACCTCAGAAGTTCCCTTCGAGCTCCACGGCTCCAACTGTAACAGAACTTGCACTGCAGCGTAACTCAACTCGCTCTCCAATTCTAGCTGCTCTGTAAAGGTTTGAGGAGAGCCTGCTGGGCTCCTTATCACAGGAACGAAAATGTGAGTGAAAACCACTCCAGAAGCGCCCATTTGGTAAGAGGAAAGCAGCCGCCCCTGAGGATCACTGCACCAGCACTGCTGCACTCGCACGGAGCCACGGACCGTTTCCAAATTCCCAGCTCCGGCAGTGCTGGGAAGAGCAGAGGCCAGAGCCACAGGGACCTCCACCTCGGATCTCCCCCAGTGTTCCCAAGCAGTTGGTGGAAGGACCTGCTCTACGCTGCCAGCACTTTGTCTTAAGCTTGTAGAAACGGAGTGGTACAATGGGGAGATGCCTCTTGTCTTGGGGAAGATAAGGAACAGGACATATCCACACATAACTGGGCAGCAAAGTGGTTTCACAGAGTTTCTCCTGGAAGTTTTTACTTTTGAAACACAAAACCACTGTAAAGTGAAGGGAGCCACTGCACAGGAAAAAAACAAAGGCTGGAGGGGTTCCTACCTTTCCGACACTGCAGCGTCACCAGGTTACAGTCATAGTCAAGTGGTGTGATGATAACGTGCACAAAATTGAACTGCCCCTAAGGAGAAAGCAATAAAATACTCAATACATTTTCCTGGCAGCCATCGTGATCCCTGTGAATGCCATAAACTACCGCACGTGAATCCACCAAGGCCAATAACCGCCATCCATGATCTCAACGCTGTTTGCTAAGATAACACACGTCAGATTAAGGTTTTACAAACAGCCACGTGCCTGTTTTATAGCGCACCCGTGAGTAAAATCTTGTACCTTTATTGTTCCCAGTTTAAAGTCTTCTCCGGAATCATTGTAAACGATAGAAACAAAATCATTCCCAAGGTGCCTTTTCTTGTCACAGCGGTATTTATCCAAATCCTTTGTGGGCATCAGGGTAGCAATGTGGAAGATGGCTGAGGAGGAAACAGAAACACCCTTAGGCTGGCCTGGGAAAGCAGGGCTGCAAGCAGCAGCACTTGTCTGGAAGATCACGTAGTACCAGCAGTGCAATAATAAATAATTTGTGCTCCCTTGGCAGGTTTGTCCCCATTTGTGACAGAATCCAGTCCCACTGGATTGCTCCCATGGTACCTGGAGCACAGAGCGCAGAGGCCAGCGAAAGGGCAGCCTCTGAAAGCTCTGCTCCTGACAGTTCTCAGGTCCTGCCCTGCACAGACTTGTCTAGCACCAGGCTCAGCAAAGGGAATCCAGAGGCTGGCTTTCAGCAGGTGCCTGGTGTGCACTGGAACAAGCATTCCCATCATGCTGGGGCAGGTATCGACCTGCTCACAGAAAATGAACAGGGAACTGGAGAAGTGCTCCTGGGTATTTTTTCCATGACCACAGTAGCATGGTGAGTAGAATCAGGTTTGAGGAGGAAAAGGTAATGATTCAGAGAAACAATTAGCAGAGTTTTGACATGTACACTCTACCCTCAATTAACAGCCTTCACACAGCTTATGCTACAAACCTCTACGTCAAACCACATCACCCTTTAATAGAGCAGGCTGTTTTAAAAGTTAAGTGGTGTGATTTTTTTTTTTTTTCCTTAAAGAAGGCAGGTGTGCACCTCTCCCAAACTTTAACACATGGCTCACAAAGATACCAGAGACACAATGGGAAAACAGAGCCCCAGGTCATCCTGACAGCACCCCTGGAAAGGCAACAGCTTGTGGAATGCAGGTCAGTCTTAAGATGAGAAGAGACCACCCTTCCGCTTCCACCTTACCTTGCATAATGTCATCGTGCCAGCAGTAGGTAAACTGTCCATCCTCCCCACACACGTCCAGGCCACCAAGGTAAATTTTATCGGGCTGACAGTCTTTGAGCTCAATCAGCTTCCCTAACCCAGTCAGGAACTCCGTATAGCGATAGGATCCGTGTTCGTTTGACAGAATTGCGATTTCGTTGTTGCTCTAGGAAATAAGAACACGCAGTCCCACAGTGAATGCTCAGAGCACTCAATCAGCAGGAGTGATTAGGCTGTTATGTTCCCAGAAGGGCTCCACGCAGCCACTGATTTTTAGTGCAAGGAACTAAGGAAAAGCACGGCTATGGCAGGAACAGCACAGATCAGCTCGAGCAGTCGTGCCTGGCCTTCCGTGGAGATGTCAGCACCACAGGATGAATGCAGCCGCACACAACTCACCTGGCCTTCTCCAACGTAGAGCACCGCGATCTTGTGTGTGTCGTAAGAAGGGATTTGATCCAGGAGCTGCACCGATCTTTCAAACGTCTACAATCAAAACATTTGTGACATCTTTACAAACCTACCTCTGCACACCCACTGCCCTCCCTAAAGCCCCACTGAGGGCAACGACAGCACAACCTCAGCACAGCTTCCCGACCTCCACTAGTGTCTCCTGTGATGAACGCTGCCCTGCTCCGTTCTGCAAGGGCACAGTACCAACCGTCCAAGGGACAGAGCGATCCCATATGCCATCTGTCACCATGCGTCCTTGGTTTTATACTTGAGATGAGATTAATCTGGCAAACTGCACGGGTTAGATGCACTTGCCATGACAAATCACATCCTATCTTCATTTAACCTCCAGGCATGAAAAATTATCCTGCCTCTTGCTCTGAAGAACATTTTCAGCACAAGGCATCACCGCATCTCACCCAGGCTCCCTACTGCCTGAACACCCGAACCAAAAGGGAGGGGAAACTGTCCCCAGGAGGTCTGTGGTGCTCAGTCCACAAGAACTCCATCCCAGCACTACTTCTCCAGGAAGTTTATAATAAATTTTTTCCTGTGACCACAGAAAGCTTCTTGGTCACTCCCAATTAGACAGAGGGCTCGCAGGTTTGGCTAGTGATGTTCTGCCAGTATCATCTAACGCTCAGCTTTCATCCTGCACTCCTCCTACCAGCAAAAACCAAAACTCCACAATCAGCCTGCCTCCTGGCTGGGATGCTGAAACAGCACCAGCAAAATCTCCCAAGATCTCAAATTCAATCCAGAGCCACAAAGCGGGAGCCACCAGGAGTGGGGTACAGAAAATCTCCCATCTGTACTCCCACCATCTGAGCTGGATATTCATTACTATCATTTATGTTCCAAAAAAGTAATGAGGTTAGAGAAATTAACTATGAGAATTAAAAAAGAAAAATATCATTGCCTACCTCATTTGGCAACAAAAGAGGCTTGTTGTTTTCATCGCCAAAGAATGGGGAGTGGTACAACTGTAAAAACACAAAGCTAAGGGAGAAAGGGGGGAAAAGTCCTGTTACCATAAAAATTAAGTCAATTTTGATCTGTTGTACGTAAGAACATCATGTACAGAAGAAAAAGAGGAGTGATTGAAATGCTAGCAGAGTATTACTCGTTGTCTAGAGACACTTTAGGTGTCTGGACTGCCTGCAGTTTGTAATAGACCCCTGTCATAAAAACCAGCGGTCATGTCAAACAGCAGCAGGGGCACCAACGCCCCCTTCAAAAGGCAATCTTTAACGGAACGGAGGAGTAGGAATGCTCTCCTGCCTCACAGCTACGGGAGGTATTTCCAGGCTGGCAGATAAATGATTTTACAGACATTTTGCTTGTCCTCAGTAAGATGAAGATATTCTCATAATGCAATTTTGCGGAACTACCGATATCTACAGTTCAAAAAGCAACTATTATAACCCCTTCTTTTCCTCCTTCTTAGTATTTTGCACATTATATTTCTTGAATTATAAGACTAGTAATTCATCTTGTTCACAGCAAAATTAACTCTTGTTAATTCAAGCCACACATGCATTTGGAGCCTAAATTGGGATAGATTTAAAAACACGAGGCAACTATTTATCTATTTCTTTCACCGTTGAAGAGACCAGTTTCCTAAATCACAAAGTTAATTTGGTGGTAGTGGGCTCAACATATTAGGTCCTGAAAAAACAGGTAATTAATCTTTCTTTTTAATCAGATACTGTTTTGTAGATCCCATAAAACCAGTAGACCACTTGGAATGAATCCAGTCATGGCTCTGACTATTCTGAGCTCACCATTTCCAGCCTCAGATAAGCCCCTCCACCCACCTTGGGTTTATTCCAGGTACTTTCTCCGCATTGGAGGCTGCTGTTCTGCTCTTGAAGGCATCTCTCTCGATCCTTTTTCCTCTCCTTGATGGGGCCGAGTCAGAGATGGTGTATCCTCGGGGCCGGTGGCCAGAGGGGGAGCGGGGTGAGGTGACAGGACCGGTGCCATCCAACCCCCCTGACCCAGTTGCTCTGCCATCCTCCCCCTTGCTCAGCCAGCTGCCCAGTCCTTCCCCTTCCAGGTTCCCAGACTGGGATTTTGATTTCACTTCTGTGCTCAGCCTCCTTGTTACTTCTCTGCCATTTGCATCTTTGAGGACCTCTTGCAGTGTCTGCAGCTCGGGGGAAGAGCTCGACTTGCTGAGTGGCTGGGATGGCTGGAAGGAAAGCTCCTCCAGCGTTCGGCCGTCCTCTGATGGCAGGACTCTCCCGATGGGAATTCCACCCTCCACCAGGTCTTCCGACTTCAGAGATTTTTCCTCTTGGCTGGAAGTTGAGGAGGACTTAAAGAGGGAGAAACGCAGATTAACAGTTTTCCTGATACACAAAATAAAAGCTGACAACAGTAACACTCAAGGCACCCCCTGACACTGCCAGTGAAAGATGAGCAGAAAAGTGCCAAGTACAAAGCAACGCAGGTCTAGGAGCTGCGTAAAACAGGAATTTACTGCTCCTGCTCTGCGCAGAATCCCTCACAAGCCATCCGAACTCTCAATCATGACTGCACGTGCATTTGGGTATCACCAGTGAGTTCTTTCAGGGGGTGCCAAGAGGGACTCATGTGAGGACAGAAAATCTCCTGTGTGTCTAAAGCCAGGGGGGTCATACAGGACAGAACCGGTTAATCTGTCTCCTCTTACCCTGCTATAAGACTCCTGGGGTTTACCAAACCTTTCCTCACTCAGGACGTGTTCAGAACATGAAGTATCAATGTCCTCACTCTCTGGAGACTCAACTGGGGACTCGGTTTCCTTTAGCTCCATTTCCACTGGGCTCCCTTCCTCCAGCACCACCGCCGACTCTATCGAGACACAAGGCAGAAGAACTGAAGTCTGGAGAGAGGCACAGAGCGGCAGGCCCCCGTCCTCTCCTCTCAAGTACCAGCCTTTTCCCTACGGGATCTCAATGGAAGGCCATATTGAACGAGTGTTCTGGTTCTCTGATTTCTTGTCATGTCAGACTTGCTCCTGGTTCCCTTTTTGCACAGAATAACGGATCACCTTACCCTCACAGCAAAGGGCTGCATCTGCCTTGGTCCAAACAAGTGCAGTTGTTTCCAATTGTTACTGATGAACAAGCAGGGGACAAAATGAGGAAATGGGACCTTGTAGATCAATGCTCAGTTATCAGGACAGACAGGAACTACAGAGAGGTAAGAAAGTACAAGACTAGCATTAAAAGTTCATAATTATCCAGGCAACGAAGACATCAGTTCTATGCAAGTGTGCAAAAAGTAAGTTTTTCTCATACTGAAATGCAATGCTCCTGTGCCTTGTAGTGGCCTAGAAGAAATTTTACCAGGAGCCATTTCCTTGCAGTTTGGCAGTTTTCCTAGTATGTCTCAGTAGAAGCAAAACAATTCAGACCTAGATGTATGAAAGGACAAGAGAGCAGGAGTCATACATGCACTGCAGCAATACTGGGAAACCTGCACGTGGCATCTGACCAGACACATGGTTAATGGAACCACACTGACAAGAAAGCTCCTTGGAAGCCCTGCCTATGGTGGAGGAGGTTATCGCAGCATTTAACCTTGTCTCTACTCCAAGCAGTGACCCTGACCACAGGGATGAGTCTGACCAAAGTCTCCTCTTGGCCTTGCTTTTTTTTTGTCCTGAGGAAAAGGCTGGAGAACAGGAGGCTTCCCATTATGCACACAAGGGACTGGAAGACCAATCTGAAAGGCCAAGATTTGTTTTCCAAAGTAAAATAATAAAAAAAAAGGCACACACAAAAAAAATAAAGAAAATCATCAGCAAAATTAAAAATTAAAAAAACCACTAAAGCAGCTTTTCCTGGACTGATTTCAGCTTGCAGGATCAAAGTTATTTCAAAGAAGCAATTAGGAGTTAGCATTGCACACACATACCTTCTAAAAAAAAAAACAAAATAAAACAAACAAAAAAAAAAACCAAAACGTGCTGATCTGGTTAGCTGTCCAAGCCAGAACACACCTGCATATATCCAGTGTTTCCAAGCTTCCCTAGCTCCTACACCACTGCCAAGACTGCTGGTGTTTTTGAATAACGTGCGCACTCACTAGTTATTCTTTAGGTGGGAACAGAGAGGAGAAGTACAGAAATATATTTTACTGCAGCATCTTTGTGTTGCTTTAAGAGGCCTGTGTCAACAACACCCAGCAGTTAAGAATGCCCTGCTGCTCTCCAGAGAATTTTCCAGTGAAGGAAAGGCGGCAGAAAGACATTGCAACCCTCTAATTAAAATCCCAAAGCACTGCAGGCTATCGAAGCAATGCAGGTGTTGTGCTCAGAAGGTATGAAATTTGATCTCCATTTAATTAGGAAGTCAATTTTCTTGAAGTGGAGAAAGGTTTTACACTACTATAGAGCATCCAAAAAGCCAGAATTTAGCAGGTTTTCCCCTGAATTATATTTATTCTTTTTTTTATTTAAAAAACTTTTAACCAGCATCCATTGTAATGTCAAACTTTATATATATA